TTGAAGTTTTAAGGGTGTTCTTGGTGGATGCTCTTAAAAGACTTACAGTTGTCCTGTAAATTAGACAGTTTGGGTCAATCTGGACTTTGATAAACTAGGTTTCTTGAGGTGTATTTACAGATCTACCACATATTTTATTGATGTAGTAATACACACATGAACACATAGACACTGCCCTTGAAAACACTGATACCTTGTATTCAGTTCACAGAGCACACCCACATATATTATTTCATTCTCCATGCAACAACCTTTCAAGGTAGCTGCATTTTAAGCTGCCTTGAAGGCAGGCAATATTTAGCCCTTGTAACACAAACAACTAAGGCCGGATAAGGCTCTGTAAGTAAATCTGTTGCACAGAGCTCACCAGTATCAGAGAAGAACCCAGCTTTCTAGACCCAGTTCTAGACTGTTTATTCTCCTCGCTGCAAACCCCCAAAGTCTGCACTAGAACACTTTTGTTCCACTACACCTAGTAGTGCTCTAGTTACCTTAGGAAGTTACTACATTTACAGGAGCCAAATACAGAGTTATCTGTTTCCACCTGGAATACATGTAAACTCTGCACATTTCCTGCCTTCTACTCTATTTAGCAGAAAATAATGCCCTAATAATAATAATATTATTATAACATAATATTAATGCTATTTATTGTTTAGTGTGTATCATCCACTGTGCACAGTGTAAAATTATTATTCCCTTTTACAAAATAAGAAAATTAAGAACCAGGTAATAAATAATTTGTCTGAAATCAAACAACAGTAAGTGTCAGAATTGAGAGGCAAACAGGTTTTTTTCTGATCCAGACCCTGCCTTACTTACCACTGGAGGTCTCGTAAATTTTAGAGCTGGTAGGTGAGCTGGGAGGTTGCGAGGAAACATGTCATCTTCAAAGAGGTAAAAGAGAATTAACAGGCTCTCAGAAGGTGAAAGCAAAGGTGTTTTTCTCCCAGTTTGCTCCATAGGTAATGCCGAGAAAAGAACAGAACAAATCTATTTACGGAGAAGTAAATGTAAAGAAGCTTTTCATACCCAGCCCAGCACCCCTAGGGTGGGGAGTTAAGGAAATGCACGAGAGAGACCTTTTTCTTGGAATGTGAATAAACTCTCACATCCAAATGCATTCAGTCTTTTGGGAAATTTCCCCATCCATCAAATGTTTGAGATAAAAAAGAAAAGGCAAGAAATGGGGACACTAATGAACCTGGGCCAGCTTCCAGGTTCAATCTGATCTGAGGAGCCACCATTGTCTCCCTGGGGCTTCCTGTGCTATAGCGTCAGACACCTATTTGGGGCTCACGGTTCCAGGGCTTTACTGTTAAACCATTTGGGGTCAGCATTCATGAGACCAGAATAAGATCTGAAGGTCAGATAATTTGCCAGATGGGGATTCAACAGATCAACATGAAGTTCATTAGGGACATGTTTCATTCAAACTATCTAAAGTTGGGAATTTTTTAGAGTAATAAAATAGGAAGAATGTGTCTGTCTTGTATCATTAATGCTATTTATAGATATCCTCAGTGGGTTGTTTGAGCTTAAGTTAAAAGGTAGAATTTCAATTCTACTTAATAGCAAAACACTTCTCTTTGCTGCATATAATTAAACAAAAAGGTGAAACCCTAACAAACATCATAAAATGCTTGGCCCAGTCATAGAAAATTGTCATCTCTCCAGGGTTGATGTAAATGGGAAGGGGAAATGTTGTTCTTTTATCACTTAAGAGCATGAAAGTACATTTGTACTATCTACAGACGACTAACTACTCACAAAATTCTCAAACAACAGGTTTAAACATTTTCTATTCAAATTTGAAAGGACAGACGTTGTTGATTGATATTTCCTATTCATTTCTCTTTGGATTTGCAATTTTTAAAGGAGAGATGCAGCTTTCTTTAGTTTTTATAAGCACTGTGGGCTGAGCAGCTTGTCAGTAAAATCCATTCAAAATTGGAGATCCCTGTGGCCTGTGAACAAGAGATCATCTCTGTGCTGCTTTCTCTGGGACAGCCATGGTGCTTCTCAAGTGTGCTTTGAAAATGTTTCTCCGTACTGAGCTAAGCCATTCAGCAGCCAGCTGGGCTCCTGGTTTTCCAGGTTATGATGTTGGCAGTTGGCAGTGGTTTACACTGACTCCTTTGGGCTCTCTGGGGAGGTCTCTGGTCAGAGCCCAGATTTTCCTTAACCAGGTTAAGCAGGCCAAACTGGAGTCTGGTTTCATTTCCCTGGAGGTCAGAAAAGTATGTAGTTTCTCATTTGCTTGATTTTCCACTTTCAAAATGAGGACTTGCCCTGCCCCAGTAATGGAGAGAGCAGTCCTACCCCTCTGTGGCTGAGATCTGCAGTAAAGCAGATGTTGAAAGATGAAATGTCATAATAGAGAAGCATCTTAATCTCTGATATTGTGTTCAAGTTTTTAAGAATGTGATACCCTCTAAGAAATTTGCAAACCTAAGTGGAGATGATTTTATATGGCTTAGCATTTCTTTAAACCATATGTCAATACAAGGACTTCTGAAAAAAAATGATCATGTTACTTGATCCTGATGCCTGTGCTGAGTGGAAGGAATGGTATTCTCCTTCGATTTGGCTGTAGCAGGGCTCAACAACTGTGGCCTGTGAGTGGAATCTGGCCCATCTCCTGTTTTTATAAATACATTTTGTTGGAACACAACCATGCCCATTTGTTTACATAAGTGTCAATGGCTGCTTTCCTGATACGAAAATAGAGTTGACTAGGAAGGACAGAGCCCATATGGCCTGAAATATTTACTCTCTGGCCTCTTACAGAAAAAGTTTGCCCACTCCTGAATTATAGCACAGTGTTAGGGCCATGGGACTTCTGATCTGACTCTATTCCTAGCTTTTGGAGCTATGGGCAAGTTATTTAAGTCCTGTAAGCTTTAGTTTCCTCATTTATGAAGTGGGAGATGCTGAGGATTGCGTTTTTTAATTAGATAATATATTTATTATCTAATATAATTAAAGCCAAATATATAATATAATATATTTAAAGCCAGTACTATCCTTGTTCCGGACCCTACAAATATTGGACATAAAGATCTTAGCACAGTGCCCGACACAGTGTCCGACACGTAGGGAGTACTCAACAAACATGCAAACGTACAAAATAGCTAATTTGGTTGCCGGTATCTTCATTATCCTCGTGTTCTGCCACTTGGTGGCCATTGCTCTGGAGCTGTTGGAATCCCAGTGTTTCCGTTCCCCACCGCTCTGCCAGATGGCAGCTGTTTCCTACAAGGAGGCAGTTAATGACCATTGAGATGTCATGTATGGAGTGATTGGGAAGGAAGTAGGTGAAGCTGTGTGATAAGGTGTAAGGAACATAGGAATCAGCCAGTCAAGGCAGAACCCCAGTGTCGGGACAGCAGATGGAGTGTGGGCTCTGGAATCCAGAATTCCGGGGGTTTTGTCTTTGCTCTACTGGACATGAGCTGTGTGACCGAATTCAGCAAATGCGTTCGCTTCTCTTCTTCAGTGTCTTCAGGAGTTTAATGCTGCTAACAGTGACCCCCAGGGATGTAAGGATGAACTGAGCTCCTGTAGAGAATGTACTCGGCACATAAGACGTGCTCGATTAACATTGCTCCTCAGAGGTGCTGCTTTACAAAGGCAGGGGGAGAAGAGAGAGGGCACTGGGGACCTGGGTGCCTGCAGGGTGTGCCCCCTGCATTTCAGTACACTCTTCACATGTCACCTTTTCAATGAGGCCTCCCCTGACCGCCCATGTGAATATCTCACCTTCCTTCCCCTCCTGGTCTCCCTCCTTCACCTTCCTGCTTGATTTTTCTCCACCTAACGTATCATATTTGGTGGGACCTACTCTGGGTCTTACTTGCTTGGTGGCTGTTTTCCCATCCATGTGAGTTCCAGGAGGATAGGAATGATTGTTTTACCCACTGATAACATTCTTGGTGCCTGTGACAGTGGCAGGCACATAATCTGTGTTTTACTCATAATTATATTTTTAGTACTCAGCATACTGCCAGTCACATACTAGAGAGAGAACAAATAATTAATTGAACAAGTAAATGAGTTATATTAATTTAGGGCTTCTTATAGTATTAGTGTCGGGCTAATATAGGATTTCTTCATACAAGCTTGCTTCATTGTTAAAATATTCTATAATAATTTGTATTATCATCTTTGGAAAGAAGTGAGTTTTGACTAAAATACACACAGCATAATGAGTACAGACTAAATGTGTTTTTCTGAGGCCAGTCGGCAGGCAGGAAGCCTCTCTGCAGGTGCACAGGTGATGCGAGGGACCACATTCCATCCACCAAGCCAAAGCTTTCAGAGATGTGATATCAATGTGCCAAAGCCCCACTCCGATAACATGAGGGATTCTTCGTGTCTGTTGGGAAAGCTGAGCCAGAATCAGCATGAGAATCGGATCAGTGCAGCTTGTCTGTGATAGGCAGCACGCTGTGAGGCTCAGAAGCCCGCCTGTGGGAGGATCTTCCTTCAGCGGAAGGACTTTGGCCAGAATGGGGATATACTAGGCGGCACGTTTCCGGAGACCAAAACCAATGCCCCTTGGTGACCAGCATCCCTTCCAGGACCTGATAGTCCCCCCCAGGGACTGTCTCCCACAAAGTCTCAGGGTCCAAATTTGAACACATGGTGCCAGTAGGGTTATACAATGTCAGGAACATAAGGGAGCCTGAGTCAAAGGGTCCAGTCAAGACCCAAGACACACAGGATGGACTTTTCTGAATGCCTGAGCTGCAGAAATTCACGGCAATGTGAGCCTGCAAGGTGCACCTGTCATTCTCCACGCTTGTGCCAGAGAACTAGGCAGTGTGCCGGTGGATTCCATTTGAGCTCTAACATGGAAATGTGTCAGACAGGGCGGGTTATGTCTGTGTTTTCTATCACAGGACAAGCTCTGTTTGAAAAGTTATTTGCATGGGATGGAATACTCAGGGGCCTCCATTGCACCCCAAAGTCACCTGCTTCTCCGTCCTGTTTTCCAGCATGGGCTACTGCATCCTTTTCGTGCATGGAATGAGCAAGCTGTGCACGTGGCTGAATCGCTGTGGGGCTGCCACCCTGAGCGTGTCCACTGTGCTTCTGCTGCTGCTTTTCTCATGGAAAACCATGAAACAGAACGAAATTTGGCTGTCGAGAGAGTCTCTATTCAGGTATGACTAGAGGGTTAAAAGGGAATCTCTTCCCATTTATTTCTTTGCTGACATATTTGTTTCCAAACAAATGAGGCGACATGGGTCTGGCAATATTTATTAATCCAGAAACGTTTTTCAGTAAAGTTTTAAATGGAAGATGTCATTTTATTTTGGGTTTTAACTTTAGTTTTTTAAATGGTATTGTATAAAGTTTTATGGGAGCTCACTGTAAGTGAATGAATGGAAATAAGGCTCATGGGAAGGTTTTTGGGTCTGTGAATTGAGATGGAAAGTCTTGATAATGAGCTGAGCTGTAAAATCAGCCATAAACAAAATAAGATTGGTCAGTAAGTCTAATTGCATTGTTCAGCTGAGTGAATGAGAAAGGTGAGCACACAGCAAGAAGGAAGAGAGATGCAGAATATTCCAGGATATTAAGTTGTGATCTGTAATCTAGTTGCTTTGTTTTGAACATTAATTGTGAGCAAGGATACGAAAGCCTTTTTCATCTTGTTTTATGTGGTGTAGAAGCTGTTTCTGAATATAACAATGACAGTTTATAGCCCTAAATTGTTGTAAAGTATAAAACATCCTTTGGGTTGCTCATCATGCTGTGTTTCTGGGCTTAGTCTGTCTCCTTGATGTCATAACCCTGGTGACCTTCACCTGGCCTCCGCGGCTCAGCCACACCTGGCCTCCCAGCAGTAGTTCCCAGTCTCCTAGGGGTCCCCAGTCTTTGACCCCTTCCAGCTTCTGTCCTCACTTATGACCCAGTTGGCCAGGTCTGTCAATGTGGTTTTTATTTGGTTCCCTAATCGGCCAGTACCCAACACTTATTCTTTGGAGGCAAACAACTGAAACAGAGTTGGAATCACTTTCAAAAGGAGAAAATATGGAAAGAGCATAGGAGAGCGCACAGAATTGGGGAGTAGGTGAGGAAGTAAGCATGTAGTGGACGGGAAACAGGTGTCTGGATAGTCTGTCTTGAGGGGACCTGGGCACCTGCAAAGGAATGAATGGAGGGTAGATGTACCCCAATTTTCTCTCTCTTCACATCACAGTCCTAGGAAAAGAAAATCCTCTGACTAAGCCTGAGCTTAGGTCATGTGCCTTGTCCCTACTAGGGCACTGAGATGACAGAACTGGCCAAAGACGCTCCCCTGACTTCCATGGGGGGAGTTAGGGCAGGCAGAGCCCCTGGGCTTCCACTGAGATGTCACAGCAAGAGGGAATTCCCCACAGGAAACCCAAGCACCGGAAAAGGACACAGAATCTGGGCTGCCAGAAGTGAGTGAATGAGTGAATGAACGAATGAAGGAGTAAGACAAATGTTCACTGTACTCCTCTACCATTTTAAAACAATATATCTGATTTTGCTATTTGGCAATTTAACTTTCTTTAATAGAAAAAAAATTTAGTCTGGCATGCATGCACATCTTATCAGTTTATTTACTGTTACTATATCATTATCATTGTCACCATCATTACTTCAGGGGGTACTATAGGGACCTGTTGCCCTGTGGGTTTTTTCTAGGAATTGTATATCACTTTTAGCCTTCAGATTCTGTTCTGTCCCTGTCATACCCCCGACTTCAGTGCAGTTCTCACAGACTACAATGGACTTGTTCCCTCTTACTGCCCACTGCTGAGGTCATTCTGTAAACACAGGGGCATGGAAGTTCAGGAATATAACTTCCTCCTGGTTTCTCTTGGCTTAATTCATTTTTTCTTTCACTTTCAATAGTCAGTGCTTTTATGAGAAACTTTAAAATGATTCTGCCCCGTGTTAAATCCTTTCCTTGAATAAAGGTACTAAGATTGATTGTATTTTCTAATGATGTTTACTGCTTAATCAGTGCAACTCTGAGGAAGGATTTTGGCAGACAGCATTTTATCTCAAGGATAACAAGTTAGTGTTCAAACCCTGTACAGCTGATGCCAGCAATTTAAAAAAAAAGGAAAACAGAAAAACAAAAAGCTCATTGACCTTGCATGCAGAGGCTTCTTGTTTTTTAGATGCAAGCATGTAGGAAGTGAACAGTTGATTACTAAAACACAGGCATTCCACATATGTGCTTAAAGAGACTTTGTGTCTTGAGAGGCCTTTGGTGATCAAATGGAATTTTGTGTAATGTGCAAATCAAAGCTATCAATAATTTTTAGAAAACTTTTCCTGTTATAATTTATTTATGTCCTGGGGAAACTTTTAAGTATCTGAGGCTTTAAGTTTATTCTTTTTCCTTCAAGACCAGATATTTATATGTATTCATCTTTCCTGAGTAATGTTCAAATCAGTTGAACATTTACCAAGAATCTTTGAGGCAAGATAGGATTAGTGGCTGGGAATTAGGCTTTCTGGCTTTCCTCCAAGTTCTACCGTTTAATAGCTGTGTGACCGTGGGTGAGTTACTTAACCACTCCATGCCTTAGTTTCTTTATTTTAAAATTTAGGAGTTTGGGATTAACATATACACACTACTATATATAAAATAGATAACCAACAAGGATGTACTATATAGCACAGGGAACTATATTCAATATCCTGTGATAAACCATAATGGAAAAGAATCTGAAAAAGAATATATATATATACATATACGTATATATGTATAATTGAATCAGTTTGCTGTACACCTGAACCGAACACAACATTGTAAATCAGCTATACTTCAATTAAAAAATAAATTTTAAAAAACGAAAAAATTTTTAAATTTAGAATAATGATAGTGTCTGTCTTCTGGGTGTACTATAAGAATCAAAGAGTATGTGAAAGATGCATAGGGCAGTATGATAAACACTGTGTAAGGCTTTCAGATTATTGCTCTGCACTGTGTTCCAGGACATGAGCAGGGGGTGGGGCGAGACACTAGAGGAGCCTGAAGTCTGGATGGGAGTCAGACACATGTACACATTTTAATGTAATGTAGCAGGTGGTAGACAGAGGCAGAGCAGGGTGCTGTCTAAGTGCAGGCAGGTGACTGGGACCAACCCAAGCCTTCAAGGACCATTCTCCTGTAGACCTGGGCTCAGTCTGGAAGGATAAGGAAAGCCTAAATTAACCATAATGGCCAAAACCAAGAGCTGGCCAACTAAGAAGAAGTTGCAGTAGTTCTAGAAGAGCTGATGTCCTTGACAGAGGCCCTGTTTCTGTTTTCTCCTCTGTTCCAGACTATCAACCCGTTGACCATCCTAGGTCATATGGTCTCGTTGAGGCCTCTCTAATTATATGGAGTGGTTTTGCTTGGCAGTACTATGAACAATCTTACAGAATATCTTAGGACAGACCTTTGTGTTAGAGACAATCCAAATTTCAGTCAAATTCCAGGGTTTCTAGCTGAGGCCTCCTGTCACAAAAAAGATCCCACTGAGTGATGTATTTTTAGGAGATACAGATGGAAGTTCCCCCTCACAGCTTTGTACTTTTATTGGCAAAAACCTCACACACAAAAGCACAAGAACCCAGCACTCGTGTCTCATCAGTGGCTCAGAGAGAGTAGTTTGTCCAAGACGAAATCGCTGTGAAAAGGAGGTGTCAGGTTTGAACCCAAATCTGATGTAAAAGCCAAAGCCAAACAGCCACACCTGTTTTTTGCTTTATGTTTTCTAACTTAGACTAATCCCACTATAAACAGAGAAAGACAGAGACAGAGACAGAATGAGAGATGTTCCTAATCATAGCTGCAAGGTACATTCTCTTTAGTTCTCAGAACAGGAGATTATTCTGCTATCTAACCTGAGGAGAGGGTAAGTAGTGACAGCCCAGACTTTTATATTTTGGTACCAACATAACACAATTGGATGAAATCTTTTCTTCCCACGCCCCCAAATCTTCAAAATACTTAGAAAGACAGAGCCAGCGTGTTTTCTTTTGCCTGCAGTTTGGGGTCTCTCTCAATCCCATGCATGAACTATTTGAGGGATCCGCGGGCGGCCAGTTAGGAATTTATGGCCTAGATCTTCTCCCCTCCCTGTAGGAAATACATTTCTCTTTCCTCCTCTCTGAATTGCTGAGCCAGAGAGATAAGCAGACCTCCCAGGGCAGAGAACATAAACCAGGGATTGGCAAACTCCTCTGTAAAGGCCAGACTGTAAATATTTGAGGCTTTGTGGGCCCTATGGTCTCTTTTGCAGCTGCTCTGCCGTTGTCTCGGGCAAGAGGCCAAAGACATCTATGTAGAAAGGTAAACACATTGATATGTCTGTGGCCCATCAGGCCATAGTTTGTTTACCAGTGAAATTCTAATGTTTCTAGTATCTTGCGGTACCTTTTTGGTTTATCAAACGTTGACCAACTTCAGGAATGATTCTGAGCTTATATTGACCTTGGTTGAACTCTCTGCTCAGCTACTTACTCAGTCTGTAACCTTAGAAAATGGTCTTAATCTCTCTGAGCTTCAATTTCCTCATCATGTGGGAGGTACAGTAATACTGCCCATGGGATAGGTTGTTGAAAGGGTGAGAGGAGATAGCCCATGGAAGTGGATGCTTAGCTCAGCACTTGATTCAAAATGAGCCTCCATAAGCACTGGCTAACCTGATGGTGGCACTGGAAACCTCAGGTTAAACAGGGTCACAATTGAGGAGAGCCATAAATTCTTACCTTCCTTTCCTGTTAACGTCTGGCTGAACATTTTTTTTAAATGTTTGTTTTCTAATCAGGAATTTGGGGGTGATTCTCCTGACCTATTGTTCCAGTAATGCCAACAAAACAAACTGATGTTCTACAAACTTGGAGAGATACCTGATAGAAGTGGCTTGATGTCTCTGTTATTTTTCAAGCCTTCTGCAAACGAGAGGTGTGAGGGAGAAATGCAAAGTGCATGAATTAAGATCCTGAGTTCAAAGGGAGACCTTAATTCATAATCCTTGTTGCAGTTATTAATAGGATTTGGGATCCAGCCCCATAACTTATGAATCCTACATTTCCTTATGGAGTAAATATGTGTAAGGCTGCACGTTCTGTTAAGACAGTTGGGACGACTCAACCACAGCATCCCAAAAGCAAACTGATGAGGCTGACCCTGGAAGGAGGGAGCAGCTTGGCCAGTCAGAGTGACCTGGAAAGTTTTGCCTTTGGTCAATTGTTTATTTTCCTTTTTTCACAAACTGTTTATTGTAAAATGAGAGACTGGAAAAACGTAGCAGTAAAATATCACAGAGAGAATGTAAAGGTCAAAACAACAATGGGAAAAGCAGTGTGTTCTTAGGATTTCAGTTACTCCACCCATGCCTGCTTGCCTGCTACAAATATTATTACTTCCATCCTGCCATCACTGAACAATGCCCTCATCTTAGCAAGGACGCTTTTCCACAGGCTGAACTCGGGTGAAACATAGTAGAGCAACTATGCTAATCACACAGAAGGGAGGATCAATTCCAATAAATATGCCAGTTATATCTATGCTGAAATCAAAGTTACTTTAAAATCTTCCTGTACCATGCACTATTTAGTTCTGCATAGAAAAATCAGACACTTTCCTGTATAGAAATTGGATTTTTTTAAAAGCCATTACTATCACTCTGAACTTGGTCCTGCCCCCATGACCTAAGGTACTTTGGGTAATGTCCATTTGAAATGTTATATTAAAATTCTAGCTTTGTGTGTTAGCTGGTGAGCTTCACCATAAGGTAATTGAAGGAGATTGATGATTTCACTGGCATCCAAATGGCAGCATTTGTAAATCTTTTGTCTTGGGTCAGTGGTTTCCAGTGAGAGGATTCCTCCAATCTCCTCTGTGGAGTCCAATCCTGGCTTCCAGTATGCAGAGTTTTACACGGGTATAATGGGGTGAGGGAGATTCCACTGTTCAGAAGATATATTTTCACTTAATCTACCTTGGAGGTACAGCTCTTCTGGCCCTCAACTGTACCTGTTGTTCCTGATCTCTCTGATTCAACTTTTCTAGAGAGTAAACGTCCTGCCTTTTGCTGGGATGGGGAAAGAATAGAGGTAATAGTCACCTGGATGTGCCTGGTGGGGAAGAGGATCTGGGGTCTAACTGCTGTTAATACAGATTTACAGCCCATCTGTTTCCAGCCACACCCCACACACAACAAAACATCCTAGCTACTGCCGTGCATTTGACATCACCATAACAGCTCTGTGTAAGTTGAAGTCTGCTGCTGTCACGTGATGCTGCCCTTGGGTTGGTTGCTAGCTGCCCACACTCCCTGTAAATTCTCTCCTCTGGAGAGTTCCTCAAGCACTTGGCCAGTGGATTTTAAGTGGAACAGTCTTTGCTGGTCCTAAGGGACTGGGCTTTTTGGGTTTTTTTGCCTTTGAACATTTTATTTCTTTTTGAATTAAAAACATTTTTTTTCTCGGGTTATAACGTTAAGGGGCTGTTATTTCAACAAAAATTCAACAAAGGTTACAATACCCTGACGTATTATCCTAACAGGTTTAATTTGTATGGAGTTCCCCTAGTGTTCTTACCTTTGAATTAAAAATTAAATGAAAATATGTCACCTAGAAGAGGAAGTGCATTTAAAGTTCAGTTGCCGGAAACTAGGTTGTTATCCTTTCTGCTTCCTCTCTGTCATCACCTGCTGCATTCCAGCATTTAACCCATGTAGGTTCCAGGAGTTTTCTTTCCAGACAGCCCCCAAACCCATCTACCCCTGACACCACCTCCTTGCAGGTGAGGGAACAGCGATTCTAGGAGCAAAGTCCTTGGGTCAGAATCCCGTCCCTGCCAGTTACCAGCTATCTGATCTCGTGCAGGGTGACTTTGTGAGGCAGTTACAAATGACAGCATGTCTTCCTCCTTGTGTCATCTTCAAAGCTCCAGTGTTACCCTCTGGGGCTCCCAAGGTATTCTGTTTTACCAGCTCGAGCACACTAACACACTCACCACTTAAGCAAAGTTTTTAACCTTTCTGAGCAAAACCTCCTTTCCTTATCTGAAACTTGTAGAATAATCGTACCTGTATTTTTTTTTTTAATTAGCCCCGGTTTAGTACATGGGAAGCATTTATCTCCAGTAAACCTTAGTAGGGAAGTCAGTCTACGGTCATCCCTCTTGTAATGATTTATTTTTATAGACAATCTCAATTTTTTTTTTTTTTTTTTTAAAAAGAAGGCTATAAATGAAGGAAGGAAGGAAGAAACTGAATTAACCTGAGCATGCCGGATTGTTCCCCTAAAGACTCATCTCTTACCACATCCTGCCACCTCTGCTTCATGTGCAGTAGCGTGTTTGTTTAGTTGTACACAGTTGTGCACAGCCTTCACTTTTCCACAGAAACATGTTTAGTAACTCATATAATCCACAAATTTTGGAAGACTTGGCCTTGATGGATGCAATGGACATTTCAAATACAGGTTCATGAAACTGTGAGTAAAACATGAAAGAAACTGACAACATTCTTAAGCAGTACTCTTTGTTACTCATTTTTTTAAATTTATTAATTTTTAGGTCTGGAGTTCAGACTCTGCCCCACAATGCCAAGGTTCACTACAACTACGCCAATTTCCTGAAGGACCAGGGTCGGAACAGGGAAGCCATCTACCACTACAGAACGGCCCTCAAGTAAGCAGCAGATGGGTGTCGGCTGTTGTGTTTCTTAGGCCCTTGTTTATTTCACTCACCCCTCCCAGTATTTGAAGGGTTGTTTGTTTCTCTTGGCAGTGAACAACTCCTTGGAGATGGTGTAGATCTGGGACTCCAAGTCTTTTGGCTCAGTGTTTGAGTCTAAGTCTACCTTGCTTTTAACTTTTAGTGTTTTCTTGTAAAAATTTCCATTGCTACACATTATGCAGTGAAGTGACACAGCTGAATACACATATACAGACCAATAAGAGTTGGTTGTCAAAAACATACTCGTAAGTTCTCAGGATATTTACTCCAGTGAATTCTTCCCAACTTAGGCTTCCCTTTTTACATAAATATCTAAGAGGGTTTCTATAAAGACATTGGAGTATAAAATAAAATACCCTGATAATTGTATTAAAGAGAAGGAAAATGAGAAGACACTTGAATACCGTATTGGGAATATGTTAATAAGGTATGTATATACATAAATATATATACAGTATATGTTTTTCTAATGTTTTAAAAAATTTTTTTAATTTAAAATATGAACAGCCTTGACACTCTCCTTATACTCATCCACTGAAAGAGAATATACCAAACATGGCTTTAGAGATGACTTTTAAGGGAAATTCAAATTTAAGGTCTGCATTACCAGCAGCTGTCTGCATTGCTCTTAGGTACTCTTTTAAATTGCAACTCTGACTTTCAAGGTAGTCTTCCCTAAGAGAGCCCAGATAGTAAATGTATTTAACCTGGAATGTGTGGAGTTGTGATAAGCGAACACAGCCTTGGAATCTCCCAATGTGGGCAAATCCTCTCCTTTATTGAATAATGTGAAGCTCACAGGAGTTTTTCAAAGAGGTTTCCATGCCTCTGCAGTATGTCCCACATTTGGTTGAATTTTCTGATACCGTTTCACTTTGGGACAAGCTCTAAAATATGTGTACCAAACAAATCATACATTTCACTGAAGTTCCCTCTAAGGATTGTCTCAAAGCTTAGTTTGAAATTGTCATTCTTAAAGTAACTGACCTAATTTTTAAAGTTATCCTTTTTTTTAATTTTTTTTATTTTTTATTTTTTCTGCGGTACGCGGGCCTCTCACTATTGTGGCCTCTCCCGCCACGGAGCACAGGCTCCGGACGCGCAGGCCCAGAGGCCATGGCCCACAGGCCCAGCCGCTCCGCGGCACGTGGGATCCTCCCGGGCCGGGTCACGAACCGGCGTCCCCTGCATCGGCAGGCGGACTCCCAACCACTACACCACCAGGGAAGCCCTAAAGTTATCCTTTTGAACAGTGTTCTACCTAAGTACGTTGCTCATCAATCAAATCTTTTAGACTTTAGGACCTGTTATTTAGTATTCAATATGGCAAAAATTTTAAACTGTACACATCAAGTTCCCTGCTAAATACTTTTCCAAAGATAACAAGAAATATAAATTCAAGAGGAATAATTGTAACAAAGATTTTTATTGAGGAAAGAAGTTTTTATTAAGAAATAGAAGACATTTTTAAAGATTTAATAAAGGGGCTTCCCTGGTGCTGCAGTGGTTGAGAGTCCGCCTGCCGATGCAGGGGACACGGGTTCGTGCCCCGGTCCGGGAGGATCCCACATGCCGCGGAGCGTCTGTGCCCGTGAGCCATGGCCGCTGAGCCTGCGCATCCGGAGCCTGTGCTCCG